GAGGAGAACAGAATTGGAGGGCCAAATTCTAGAACCTTCCCTTGCCCTGAGGAGAACAATAACAGAGAAATACCTACCTTACCTCCAGCTAATAGACCACCCCGTGGAGGCCCTCCAAATTCAAAAACCCAGAGAAGGAAGAAGACGTCGGATTTTCACGATCCGCACAATCCTCTTCCTTAAAAATTGTAGCATGGAACTGCCAAGGAGTAGGGGGCCCTTGGACAGTTCAACGTCTCCAAGAGATTTGTAAGAAATACGATCTTGACATTATTTTTCTCTCCGAGACGAAAAACCCCCACCATGTGGTAGCAAAGAAACTGGAAAAGTTAAGATACCCAAACCTGAAAACTGTTAACCCACATGGAGTTGCGGGAGGCGGCCTCGCCATTTTATGGAAGGAGTGGCTCCAGCTTGATGTGATCTCCTCCTGCAGAAGCTATTTCGATGCACGGATTAGCTATGAGGGAAACTTATCCTATGTAACGTTTGTTTACGGAGATACAAATAAAAAAAAGAAGAAAACTAAATTGGGATTATCTCACCTCTTTAGCTTTTATCCGAAACAGTCCTTGACTGGTTACTGGGGATTTCAATGATATCTCTGGAAATAATGAAAAAGAAGGAGGCGTTGAACGATCAGAAGGATCGTTTTCTGATTTTAGAACTTTTCTATCTGAGGGAGATCTTTATGACCTACAACATAGTGGTGAATGCTTATCGTGGAAAGGGAAAAGAGGTACTCACACGGTCCGTTGCAGGTTAGACAGAGCCATCTCAAACAGCGCTTGGGCTGAATTGTACCCCTCTGGCCGTTGTGAATACCTACCGTTTGAAGCGTCAGATCACAGACCACTGGTCACCTTCTACGAGCCTTTGAGAAAGAAGAGGAAGGGTATCTTTAGATACGATCGAAGCCTGAGCAAAAACCCGGAACTGACTAAACTCATAGAAGAGACATGGCTGCAAAATACCCACCGAAAAGTGAAAGAAAAAATAGATTCTTGCAGAACGGCCATCATTGCCTGGTCAAAACAGCAGAGAGATGCCAACAGAGTCATCTTAGACAAACTGAAGGAGGAAATCGAAGCTCAAAATGTTGCCACTCAGCCAGATGAAATTCGACTTGAGAGCTTGCAAAAACAACTGACAGAAGCTTACATGGTGGAAGAGAACTACTGGAAGCAGAGGAGTAGGCAACTCTGGCTCCATCTTGGGGATAAGAACTCTGGGTTTTTCCACGCATCTACAAAGAAGAGAAATGCTATAAACAAGTTTGCAATGCTGGAAACAGATGAGGGTACATATGTCTATAACGAAGAGGAGATCACAGCCACAATCCAAGATTATTTCTCAAACATTTTTACCTCCAATATCGACAACCCACAAGGGATGCAGGAAAATATAGCAGAGGCTATATCCCCCCGAGTTACAGACGAACAGAACGAGTCACTCATCTCAGTACCCTTTCCCCAGGAAATAAAAGAGGCTTTATTCTCAGTACACCCGGAGAAGGCGCCGGGCCCTGATGGCTTCTCCGCCTGTTTTTTCCAAACTAATTGGGGAGTTGTAGGTGGAGACATTGTAAGAGAAGTCCAAGAATTCTTTACCTCCGGTGTCATGCCGAGAACCATTAACGAGACGCATATTAGACTCATCCCAAAGGTCACTGGAGCAAAAAAGATCTCTGAATACAGACCCATTGCACTCTGCAATGTCTATTATAAGACAATCTCCAAACTGCTATCTCGGCGACTACATCCTATCCTCCCCAGCCTCATATCGGAAACACAATCTCATTTGTTCCAAAGAGAGCAATATCAGACAACATACTCATTCCTCATGAAGTCTTACACTACCTAAAGAATTCAAGAGCAGAAAAACAGTGTTTAATGGCTATTAAAACCGATATGAGTAAAGCCTATGATAGGCTGGAATGGGAGTTTATCCGCAAGGTACTACAGAACATGAAGCTCCATCCTAAGCTAGTAAACTGGATTATGCAGTGTATCATGACAGTTAGCTATACCTTTATCATTAATGGAGCATCCAAGGGTTACATCACTCCAGAAAGGGGCATTAGACAAGGTGATCCCTTGTCTCCTTACCTCTTCATACTGTGCAGTGAAGTGCTTACCAGCATGTGTACAAGCGCGCAGGCCAACGGTAAACTCAAAGGTGTCTCTATAGAAACGCACTGCCCAAGCCTAAACCACCTCATCTTCGCAGATGATACAATGTTCTTCTGCAGAACAAGTAAGAAAAGTGCTGAGACTCTCAAGGATATACTGACTAGATACAAAGCAATCTCAGGCCAGTTAATAAACAAGCAAAAGTCATCAATATTCTTCTCAAAGAAAACTCCTTCAGCTACCAAAACTCAAATGAAGACTATTCTCAATATTGAAAAGGATGGAGGCATGGGAAAATACATGGGTTTACCTGAGAATTTTGGCAGAAGGAAAAAGAACCTGTTTGCTTCAGTGGTGGATCGCATTAAAATCAGAGCAAAGAGCTGGGCATCGAAGTTCCTATCGAGTGCAGGAAAAATGGTGATGTTGAAAAGTGTCCTTTCACCAATGTCAGCTCATTCCATGTCTTGCTTCAAAATCCCTCAGTCCCTTTGCACAAGTATTCAATCTGCCTTGACGAGATTCTGGTGGGACTCGGAACCGGAACATAGGAAAAAGTCGTGGATTTCATGGGAAAAAATGGCGAAACCAAAGAGCAGGGGAGGTCTGGGATTTAAAGACATCAACGCATCAAACGATGCTCTCCTTGCAAAAATTGGGTGGCGGATCATAAACAATCCCTCATGTCTGCTTGCGAGAGTCCTCATAGGAAAATATTGCCACTCAACGAACTTCCTAAACTGTGACACTCCCTCATCAGCGTCACATGGTTGGCGAAGTGTCCTCATAGGCAGAGACCTCCTCCTAAAACAACTGGGATGGATGGTAGGAACATGATCATCAATCAATATCTGGGATGACCCATGGTTGTCTTTTACTGAGCAAACTAGACCGTATGGACCAGCACCAGAGGCGTATTGCTCACTCCTTGTCTCAGACCTATTCCAAGCCAACTCTACGGACTGGGATGAAGGAAAAATTGACCTAATATTACCTTTCCACAAGGAACAGATCCTCCGCATTAAGCCAAGCAAGACGGGGAAAGCGGATGAATTGATGTGGCTAAAAAATCCCTCCGGTAACTACTCCACAAAATCAGGCTACTTGACGCTTACCGAGGAGAGCGAGATGAAGGCCGTAGATAACCATGAGCCCCCTGTGGATTGGTTAACAAGTGTCTGGAAGGTTAAAACATCGGAGAAAATCAAGCTATTATTATGGAAATCCCTACACAATGCACTGCCTGTAGGAGAACAATTTGCAGCACGAAGCATACCTGTTTCCCCGATGTGTAGCAGATGCAATGAAGTGGAAACAATAAACCATCTTTTCTTCACTTGCCCTTATGCGATGAAGGTGTGGGAATCAGCTCCCTCTCAGCCAACTATCAGAGTCAATAATCTAAGCGATTTTAAGACAAACTGGGACCGGGTCAGGAAGATCGTCTCCCTCCCCCCTTGTGGGAATTGAAGCAGGTACTCTAGCCTCTTAGATCATGTGGACCCTGTGGAACTCACGAAACCGATGGATTTTTGAAAAAAAGCGTTCACCCCTGAAGAGACCATCAAGAAAGCTATCATCGATGCTAGAGAGTGGAGCCTAGCTCAAATCCCCTCTACCACAAGAAAAGAGAACCCTTTGATCAGAATCGAACCAGTCACTAGAAGCTTGGGATCGCGCTTGGTGTTCACGGACGCAGCATGGAATCCAGCCTCGGGCTACGCAGGACTTGGTTGGATCATTGATGATTTGGTTTCCCCTCTACACCTCTCAACGACTGCAACCTCTGTTGTATCGCCCCTCATGGCGGAAGCCTTGGCCGTTCACGCAGCCATAAACTCTGCTCTCTCCCGAGGATTTAACGCCATAACTATCCATTCTGATTCTCAGGTACTGATGAACACAATCAACAGACGGGAAATGAGATTGGAAATATTTGAGATTCTTCGAGATATCTACCATCTATCTGCTCTCTTTAATTCCATTAAATTCTCTTTCATTCCTAGAAACTTGAATGTCGATGCAGACAATATTGCCAAGCAGGTCCTTTGGTCCCTAGGTCCATTGTAACTTTGATCTGCTAATGAAAAGTCAGTCTTTTAACAAAAAAATAGAATAAAATATACGTCCAAAGTTTATTTATTATTCATCAATACAAAAACATATGTATTACACAATGTCCACCAGAAAATGTATCGAGCAATTCCACTAATATCTTTTTTTCATAATTCTAAAAGAAGATAACTCATGGAGTACATGAATTAGGCTCAGTAAGGTTTTTATCACACCACTGAACAAAAGCAACTATCATTGGGCTCAATATTGGTTTCCTGAAATTGACGTATTGACTTCATCTCGATAATCCATTTTCTCTGTAAGCAAAACAACTGAGGCTAAGGGTTTTAAAAGAATGAAAACTTTCTAATCTGTAAGCAATTTAGAGATTAAAATTTAAGTAAAATTTTTGGGGTTATATGTGAAGCATTGGGTAGAAATTTAAACAGTTGATGGCTCAATTAGTCACCATGATGTACTATCATTTTACCCTATTTATTTTGGACTAAATACAAGTACTAGCCGACCGTCACAACATATACGCCGAAATTACAAAAGCACATAAAGAGACGTACATAGGCACTAACCGAGAAATCGTACCCAAATAAAACAAAAAAAAATCAAAAACGGAAAACGTATGTGGACCATAACAAAACATCATAGACCATAAACACACATACACCATCATCAATTCATCATGATAACACATACACCATCATTAAATTCATCATCATCGTGATTAAAAAAAAAACCCATTAAACCAAGTCGTACTATAAATAGAAAGGAAAGGTTCTTTCTTTCTCAAGGTCTCGTCTTTCTCCGACTCTGTCTCCAACAACTTCCTTCTCTCCCCTCACTACTTTCTCTCCACGTAACCGAACCGAGTCATCATGGCCAAGGTAACCGAGTCAAACCACTTCCCTTAACAACATTCTCGAATCTTCTTCTCTCGTTTTTTTCTATCTCTAAATTTTTATTAATGGGTTTGATTTGCTTTCTCTCTGTTTTGTCTCTGAGCAGAAGAAGAACAACAACGAGAACAAAGGAGATGGTGGCGGCGAGAAGAAAACGGCGTCTATCACTGTCGTTTTGAAGGTCGATATGCATTGCGAAGGTTGCGTTTCCAAAATCGTCAAGTGCGTTCGTTCTTTCAAAGGTTTGATTTTTTTTATCTTTAAAAAAATTTCCACTTTCTCACAAATGTAATGTTAAAAGTTAACATTTTTAATGTCTCTCTTTCTCTCAGGCGTTGAGACGGTGAAATCAGAGTCAGAGACAGGGAAGTTAACAGTGACCGGAGAAGTAGATCCGGCAAAACTCCGGGAGACACTCGCAGAGAAGACAAAGAAGAAAGTCGAGTTGGTTTCTCCTCAGCCCAAAAAGGACAAAAACAAAAGCGATGAAGACAAAAACAAAGAAAAGAAATCATCTGAGGATAAGAAACCCAAAGAGGTAAATAAAAGCTTTGATTTTTTTACTATTTTTTTTTTAATCTGTTCGTATTATACAAAACCAAGAATCTGATTCTTAAGTGTTGTTGATATGTTACTTTATATGTTTATTAATGTTATCAGGCTCCGGTAACAACGGCGGTGTTGAAGCTGAACTTCCATTGTGACGGTTGTATCGCTAACATCCAAAAGACTGTCACTAAAACCAAAGGTTAGTGACACTAAACGCTTTTTGTCATAAAACGCTTCTTTTACAAAACGCTTTTATCTACAGAACGCTCACACTGTTATAATGTTTGTTGATAGGTGTCCATGGGATGACAATGGATAAAGACAAGCAACTGGTTACAGTTAAAGGAACAATGGATGTGAAAAAGCTCGTGGAGAGTTTGTCGGAGAAGCTGAAACGTCCGGTGGAGATTGTGCCGCCGAAGAAGGATAAAGACAAAGAGAAGGAGTCTGGCGATAAGAAGAAAGGCGGCGAGGGGGTGAACATGATGGAGTACGTGGCGGCTCAGCCTTATTACGAGTCAGCGTATTACCCGGGTGGGCCATATGGGTACTATCCGGTTCAGGCCCACGCGCCTCAGATGTTCAGTGATGAGAATCCTAATGCTTGCGTCGTTATGTGAGGGCGGCGGGAAGAAAAAATATTGGAGAGAGATAACAGTTGTAAATGTGCTTAGGGTATTTTGGGGAAACTCTAGTTTATTTCTTTAGTTTGGTAACTTTTTTTTTGGTTTTCTACTACAGTTTCGGTTTTGAAAACTTCCTTTTTTATATGAGCGTTTTTTTAGTTTTTTGAGTTAAGATATGCAAATATTTCTCACGGTTAAGAACATTTTAGTGTGCTTGTTCCTATAGTCTAGTTTCAATTGGGAATATTATAATAAATCACAGTTCAATAGTTACACCCTCTATCAGTATGCTGTATTTTATACAAAAGAGTGTTGTCACTTGAGATAGACACAAGAACATGCCAGCAAACATTATTTATCTAAAATGCAGAAAGCGGACAAATTGATTGTCTAAGTTTGGTTTTTCTAAAAGTTAAACAGTTACATTGTGGAAATACATGAATGATGACAAAACTAAAATCGGAAACGATCATTTGTTAAGAGTTTTTTTTAACTAACTCGATAATGAAAGGTGATTGCTAACAATGCGAACGAGAACTAGCCAAACTATATATATTAAAATTCGATTAGCACAAATAATACTTTTTGTTTTTATTATTTTGCGATCCTAAAGACATTGCGGGAATATATCTCAAACTAATGTACAAACGGTTGTGTTACATTGTATGTTTTAGTAATTTACTACATGATATAAACAATTACTTAGAAGAACTAAATTTGTAAACAGCGTCACAATTAGTCATCAGTTCATTTTATTGCCTTCATTGATCACCAATTAGTTAGACAATTGCATGTATTTTACTACTATAAACAACCAAGCTTTTTCATTTACATGCTAAGTTTAATTTTGTCTAGATGCCAATAAGAGTTATTGAGGTTTTTATTTTACCAAAAAAAGTAATAACGACAAAACAAATTATTAAAATTTTAAAGGGCAGTGGTAAATGTCCATAAATACTGAATCAAAAGTACGTAATAAATAACTTAACTATCATTATACTGAGTAATAAATTAGCCTACGTAGTTCCTTCTTTCCTACCACTCACTTGATTGGGAATCTCTGTTGTCTCAATTGCAATTTTTTTCTTTTGTGGTTTTAAAAAATCCGTTTTTCCTCTGTTTTCTGTCTCCTGATTCCTGTTTACATATGGTTTGTTGAAATCAAATGATTACATAAAAACTTATAAATCAAGGTATTTTTTTTATTTTTCTGGAAAAAATAAATCAAAGTATAGTCAATAGATCTTTTGAAGTAATAGTGTCAGTATTAGGTGCCTCTAGGCCCTCTACTAATCTTTGAGCCAGGTGGTTGTGAAATGCTCTTGAGTATTAGGGCAACATTATGGGTAAAAACGTTTTCATATTACTTACTTTTTTCGTTTTCTGATTTATAAAAAAAAATTAAATTAAAAATGGACTAATTGTGGATCGCCCGTAGGACTCACAAACAAAAGAAGGACATACCAAGAACGTCTCTTCTCTAGCGATTTTGGTCAACGTTTTTAACAAAATTGGCGGACCCTCCCTTAAGGACTGTGTTAAAATACAGCGATAATCCTGTTCTTACCCTCTACTTCATACCCTCTCTTGTAAGTCGTAACTGTGTTATTCCTTAATTGTTGGACACATACGAGATATATATTTATATTCCTTTTATATTAGTATTAGGATAATACATGTACCTTTCGCACCGTGAATTTATATGAAAAATATTAAAGAAATATAGTAGGTAAAAACAAAATTTATGTTCTTGATTGGATTAATATTTTTGACCCTTAAACAATTTTGTTAATTTTTTTTTATATTAGTATTAGGATAATACATGTACCTTGCGCACCGTGAATTTATATGAAATTATTTAAGAAATATGGTAGGTAAAAAAAAATTTATATTCTTGATTAGATTAATACTTTTGACCCTTAAACAAATTTGTTAATTACATAATTTTTTATTGATAAATTGATCCCATTTTAAAAAATACTTTAGCTCAAAATATCACTTATCGAATAAGAACCTAACGTTTAGGCGAATAATCTCAGATCTACTATTGGTTACAAGGAAACCATATATGCTTAGTTTTACTTCATGACTTAGCAATTTAAAATTTAATTATGGCTATGATAAATTTAAGTTCACGAGTAAATCTTATTCTTTTTTTTTGTGTTTTTTTTTTGGTTATTGCTCAATATAAATATTGATTTTTGAGTTTTTCGTATTTTGTTCTTTTTTTGCCTTAGATTTAGAAAATGTATAAGATTTAAAATTATTAAAGATATATATAGATATATATATATATATTTAGGTTAAAATCCACGCCTTGTGTAAAATAAATATTTTACATTTATTATTTATTTTATGTTTTTCTGCATAGTATGAAATAAAAATAATAATTATATATTAGTAACTAAAAATCAGTTATTATTACATAATAAATTGGCGTGCGTATATAAATCAAACCACCACTCTTGTTTATTTGCAATCATTTTAAGGTAAATAAATCCAAACAATCAATCTTAATTATCTATTGTATATGATATAATTAAATCTAAATGATATTAATATAGATATATAGTATATTTTTATATGGATATTTATTAAATAAGGTTTCTACTCATTGATTTTATGATTTTTTGCATACTTATGTAAACAAACTTTTGCACCAACAATTTTTTTTAATGTGGAATGTTTAGTGGTTTCAATTATTTATAATCATTTTAAAAACCAATGAAGAATTAAAATTTAAAATATTAAATTTTCATTATACGGTCAATGCAAATATCAAAATATAAGTATGTATTTTCATTTGGAGTATAGTTTGATTTAAACAATATGAAATATATATATATATATATATATATATATAAATTTAAACACCTATTAAAATAAAATTATCTATTCATATGATTTTATAATCATTGTATCATATTATAGGAAAAAAAAATTAAACCTTGATTACAAAGGTTTATACGAGATTTTTAACAATTTTAATAATTTATACTCGTTTTGAAAAATTCAAAATACAACATATACAAATAAAATCTAAATTTTTACTATATAATTAATGTAATTGTGTAATTTATTTTAATAATAAGTAACTAAACAAAATGATAGAAATTATACAGATTGTTAGCAAATCTTTATTATTTAAAATTATTAAATGTCATATATATTTTGATCACATTAAATAATTCCGTAAGTTTTATTAAAGCAAATAATATATAATACATTTTAATTTGATAAATGAATGGTGCATAATGGATATACTATATAATATGGATTAAGAAAATGATAGAAATTATACAGATTGTTAGCAAATCTTTATTATTTAAAATTATTAAATGTCATATATATTTTGATCACATTAAATAATTCCGTAAGTTTTATTAAAGCAAATAATATATAATACATTTTAATTTGATAAATGAATGGTGCATAATGGATATACTATATAATATGGATTAAGAAAATTCTCAATTGATTCTCAAACCGCCACATAAGTAAAATTAACATTCTAATTAAGTAACAACTCAAAAGAACACATTTAGAATTAGTACAAACTACATGTTATAACTATTTAAATATTTCTCTATTAATATATAAAGGATATAGTTCCAATATTTATTTTAACTACTATTTTTACATTAGAAAGATAATATATGAGTTGAACCGATGTACACTTAAAACATATAAGGAACAACACTATCTAATGATTTTTTTTTCCTAAAACACTATCTAATGATGGATATGTAATTTCTTTTTTATAATTTTAAGATTGCCAAAGAAACAAATTCTCTCTTTCACGAAAATACCATATTATGATTATTTTTTCTTTTGTTTGTAAATAATGTTGTTCTACCATCGATGTTACTTTTCTTTTAATTATTTTTATCCTTTGTGAAATCAATATTTTTTAATTTAAATAAGTATTTACTTAGTTGTATATTAAAAATAATATGTAAGCATAGTTTGTAATTTTTTTTTAATTCGCGTAAAATGGGTTAAAACGACATTTTCTGCAAAACAGACGACATATATGTTTTCGCTCAGTTTCTATAAATATCGAAATTATACTAAACCGCCATGCACGTAGATGGTAGTTACGTACTTTTGGTACTAAGTGGACGGTCCGCACGCCTGTGCGGACATTAATATAATCTATACATTGCATGAATAAAAAATAATATAAATGTATAAATATATTGTAATTTTCTTTCTCTTTTACATAGATACTCTGTTTTACATAGATACTCTGTTTTTTAATATATTTTTCTATTTTACTCATTTCCTCTCTCCTTGTATTTTTTCACACATTCGTTTTGTTTCTTATGTATCTTTACATTATTTTTGTATGTCTTTGTACACCTCTCTCGCTCTCTTTTTCTTTCTCTCTCTCTCTTAGTTGATCAAATAATCTCAAAATCTCTCAAACTTACATTCACTCTCTCACAATCATCTATTTTCATTCTCTTACCCTCGTCCTTAATATGATCCTCAATATTTCATTTTAAAAATCTCTTTTTGGTTGCAAAATTTTCACCAGAATTTGTTAAATCTTCTAAACACTTTGACATAGTATTAATAAATGATTTCCGAATCTATCTCACTTATATTCAGTCTCTCACTTATATTCTTTTTCATCTTCATTATGATCATAACTGACTCTCTAATCCTTATCATCACCATATCTCCCTCTCTTTCTCCCTTTTTTACATATTTTTTTATTTAGAATTTAATATAAAATCACAATTGACTAACCAAATAAATTCATTGTCATATTCTCTCCAATCTTCACACTATACTTTGATTTCTTTGACCAAGATTTTCATTGAAAAATAAATATTGTATTATTAATTTTGTTTTTCTTTAATTACTTCATTACATAATATTTTAAGTAAATCTAAATATCTGTATTTCAAAAAAGTAAGTTTGATTAAACAATTATATAATAAAAAATATCTTAATTCTTAAATGATGTGATGTCATTATTTTAGACATAGATTAATATAAACATGAGATTCAACAGTTTTAATATATCAAAATAACATGTTTCTAGTTGTATAAATTTTGTATAACTTTGTTATCATATATTTTTAAAGTTTATTACACTGCAAAAAGTAATTATCATTATTTTAAAATAATTTGTTTTAAATTAATTTGTGTTATATTTTGAATCTTCAACATTAACAATTTTATAACTTATCATTTATATTTATCTTCCTTTCTCAATTTTTCCTTATGTTGTATAAAAACCTAAAAA